ACAAAGAATAGTAATATCAGTGTATAGCCTATATACGCATATTCGCGTCGCGTCTGGTGTGAACACACCATTATGGATTTATGTTACAATCTCTTTATGAATGTTTTGAAGCATCAGAGTTTTGGGGAAGTAAACTTTCAATAAAGCAAAAGAAATCGCTCAGATTTAAAAAAGAAAAAAGATCTTAATTTGTGTTCTGAAAATTAATTAATTTTGGAGTGACATCAGATTGAGCAAATGTCGACAGAATTTTCATTTTTGGGTGAATTAAGCCTTTAACTGTCAATGTTTATGTTATGTAAGATTAGCTACATAAGACCAGTTGTTAAGATGGTATGACCCTGTTGGTTTATCAAAACGTTAATGTTGACGTTCAACATTTTACAAAAACTTGAAAAGTATAAAAAAATGTGTCAGAAAATGATAAAGTATTATTGAACCTGTACATTTTAATGTATGATTTTTCAAATTGCACACGTACATGTTTTGTAAACAGTGCAATGTTCATGCAGAAAACTGACATTTACCTCACTGAAATACTGATGTTGCTTTTATCAATATATATATAGTACATAACTATTTATAATTATAGTGTCTATGTGAGATGCCTCAAAAAAACCTAATCAAAACATGTATATACACTATGTGGGGCCAGTCCAGTACCCATACTGGGCCCTAGTATATCCCACATGTGCTTCATTAGTGGGACCAATATGGGTCTTATATGTGTTGCCCAGTCGGGCCCCATATGAGATTCAGATGCGACAAACCCATGCAGGGCCCACATTTACAGCCCACACGGGCCCCATGATAGAATGTTGGCTGGGATATGTGAACATTTTAATTCAGAATCAGTCTATTTTTCTGTTTTAATTCAAGGTTAACTGACTGTCAGCTGCCTCGTGTTGGAAAAACGGAAAGTCTCATAAGTCACGATCCGATGTTTAATGAGTCTCACCTGTCTCAGGTTGATCTCCTTGATGACGTAGAGCTGCGCGTGTCGCTGTCGCTGTTTGACCAGCAGCGCTCGCCCGAACGCGCCCTGACCGACCTGCCGAACCACCTCATACTGATCCATCACGAGGACGAAGAAGATGATGATGAAGATGATCTTCTGCGAGACTGTCAGGAGGCGCGTGAAGACGAGCGGCGCGTCACCATAGCAACACGTCAACAGCGTCACCTGACGCCGACACGCGTGCGAATACTCTCACCGAACCCGACTGAAGAAACGCAGAAGTCTGCTGGACACTAGTGTGAGGACGAACCGTTCATAGAAATGGAATATATGCCCGAGACACGGTGCATTATAACCTTTGTGGAACGCTGTTTAGGACTACCGTTTTTCTTATTCAAAAACAAACAAAGCTTTCACTTAAGTAATTCATGATTATTCACATATTCATATAAAGTGATTCGTTCAATTATTTAATTTTTTTGTGAATTTAAATAGGCGCGCACGAGACTCGCGGCAAATTCCATTCAAACAGAAAAACCGTTAAACTAGAGCTGCGCGCGAACACGCAGTCCTGAGGTAAGACACCTTTGCCTCACGAAATTATACCAGTTAATTAAAATTATGAAAATAACACAGACATAATAACACTTAGATATAGATCACCTACAAGTAAAAGAAGAAAAAAAAACACGTTTCATAATTGAATAGCTTTGACGCTTTTGAACTGGATTATAACAGAGCTCAGTAATCAGTCATTCTTGAGAAGTGGGACAAAACAGGGTACAAAATAGAAAAAATAAAAGCTTGTACTCAAGACAAATGAAACTACATTTATGTATCTTATATGTACTAAGCTACTGAGCTATGCTTTGATACAACCTCCCAACTTTT